AGAATTCGTAGAAACAGTATCTTCTTAACAGAAAAATAAAATTGCTTGAGAAACAAGAATGCTGATGATCGAGCTATCTAATGTTGCCTAGTACAAGTATGAATTATTGGCGGTCTTCATGACTCAAATGAATTACAAAATAATTCAAAATAAATGTTTTAAACCAGAGGCCATATTTTAATTCTCTATCACTAAATATATACATATATAGTATATAAAAATAGCTACTTTTTGTATGACTTATTCAGAATATTATTAGTTGCCAACGAACCTATTACACTTCAGTATAATTGACCATGACGTATCTTAATTCGCGATTGTCTAGAACTGCCCACTACTGTCTATAAGAGTCTATAAGAATATACAAGGTGCTACAGTAGTCTATCAGTTGGGTATGCTTTTTTCTGACTGCAATTTGTAGCCGTATTTATTTGTGCAATCCTTCGATATATCATTCTCGAAACACTTAAAATCCAACGGAAAACTGTTTCAAAAACATATTCTTTTCTCGTTTTTGAAATGCTTTCATTGTTGTTCCTAATTAAAATGATAAATAACGACCGATATCGACTTTATATTGATTAAACATTACAACTATTTTGTAAGCAATTGTATGTGACTATACTTGCCAACATATTTAGATCAGCTCTGATTTTATTATTTCCTTTCCAGATATAATTTATTTCATTTAATCAATGCTTACTGTTTATTGTTTTATTGAGATAAATATAAGTGAAACAACAACGAGTATTAATCATTTATTTGCTCTTAGGCTTGCTTTTCGAAATAATCTAAATAAAGCAATAAATAAAATTAGCTATAACCTTGAAAGCAATATTGTCATTAATTCAAATAAAAGAAGACATCATTGATATTTTTAAGCAAGTACAGAAAATAGGACCCATTTTAGGAATACGCTTTAATTGAAATACTTATAATTTTGAATCTTCTACAAAAAAGCGACAAATAATTTTATTTTCTAAATTAAATATTATCATTGAATCTCTATTGTTTCACGAGTTCAGTAGCATTGTGGAAAATCAATTCCAATAAATATTTAAAAGAAACTATGTATCTCTTCTAACAAAAAATACCCTTTATTTATAGATGCATGCAAGAATCACTTTTCAATTCCTTATGGCAAGTTCATCATTTAAAACAAATAAAACAAATAGATATAATTGTAACCTTTGTTTTCAGAATTTTTATGTAAAAATGCATATTTGTTATTATTTCATTAAGCACGATTTCTATTCGTCTTATTCTTTTCTCGCTTTGAATCGAATCAGAGAGCCATGGGTCATAGAAAATGACTAGTGATCCGACAACTTATGAGGTAAAACACAGAGGAGGAAAATTAGTGTGTAGTGATGATCAACAACCATCCTATTCTTTCTTACTCGTTCTAGATGAATTTCCTAAAAAACTGTAGGGCAGTGACAACTAATGTCTACCGTGCCAATCGACGCTTCCTATTTTTTTTACAAAGAAGCTGCGAAGTTTAAAAACAGATCGCCACATAAATCTCATGAGATAAACCAACTGTTTGGTCGGTAGATCATTTTCCCAACTTATCTCTATTGAAACCGATTTAATGCTATCGGATGTTTCACTTCATAATGATAAGAGTATGGTTTTGAACGAGACGAACACGTTTACATTGTCAGTATGATCGTATGCATTTGTGGCTCATAAATATCAAACTTGAATTTCGAGTTCGAAAAGAACAGATCCCAATCCAGTATAAGGGTAAAGTGTTTCTCATCATTTTAATTGAGATAAGCTGTGACGATATGAAGGGTTATCTTTTCCGAATAGAACAGATACAGAAACAAAGGAGTTTGATAGACAAGACCGCTTTGGGTACCTCTCAGATTTGAATTATTTCTATCAGCCATTCATCAGGGATCGTTCTTGATCATTTTTTAAACTTTGTTTCCCGAAAATCGACATTGATGATTTATTTTGCCTGGGGTACCCCACAGGTAACATCAAAAAACAAAATTTGTTTTTTTCACGAGCCAACACTAGATATAATTGTAGATTTAAGGGTATTGATTACAAACATCACAATATGAGCTTTGGAATTTTGACACTTTCTCACCATATATGTCTAAGTTCGCAATGAAGAAAGACGAAGATGGTGAAAAGGGGGTCAATTTTTGCACCAGAATTCCTCTTTTTTCCCATAAGTTACATTTTTTCGATGTAAAAACTTCAGTTTCGAAGAGAACTCAACATTTTATCGTGCCGTTATTCTGTGAGAGCTCCAGCAATGAAAAATAAAGTGCATTAAGTGGTTTAGGCTTTATAAGGAATAAAGAAATTTTCAAAGCTCTTATTGTGATATTTGTAATCAATACCCTTAAATCTACAATTACATCTAGCGTTGGCTCGTGAAAAAACAAATTTTGTTTTAGATGATACCTGTGGGATCCCCAGGCAAAATAAATCGTCAATGTCGATTTTCGAGAAACAAAGTTAAAAAATTGACCAAGGACGATCCCTGATCAATGGCTGATAGAAATAGTTCCAATCTGAGGAGAAAGCAGGTCGCAAAACGGCCTTATCCACCATCTTCCTTTCTTTTTTCATTCTTTTTCTGCCATAACTTTTAATATTTTTTTCTTTTTCATCAACATTGATGTCAACATAAAAAGAAATCGCTAAAAGCATCATCGTCCTTGGAAACAATGTGGTGTCATTTTCATTTTTCTATCAGTGATAGTATTTACTTATTAAATTTTAACAATTGTTCAGTCATCAGGAACTGGAACTGGTTTTTTTTAAACAATTTCAGCGCCACACTAATGACTTTGTTGACACTCAATGATTATTTACAAATATAGTTCTTCAATTTAAAAGTTGATATTTATTGATTTATTTTAGGCTGTGATACAAGTTTTCATAATTGCCAAATTAGAAAATACCCATCTCTGTTTTACATAAACATGTATAAGAAAATGATTTATTTTTTTTGCATTCATTTCTATTTTTAGAGAAAGATAATGATAAAATATTTTCTCTGCACCTTTAGATAAAATGACTAGCGAATAGAATTCATTAGTTTATCAAGAAAAGAGGTATTACATTTTACAAGTAAAATACAAATAAATGCATAGCTTTGTTAATATTTTTATTAAAAGAATCCAAAAATCAACTTGAGCGATCTTCATGATTGTGACGAAAGCTAAATGCGAGAAAAAAAGAAAGAGAATATACTATTGTATCATGTTGACTTTGGCGAAAATTGATAGATGTTTTTATATAGTTTACCATTAAAATTATTTTTGCTAAATTTAGGTCGAATTCCATAATACTGGATTGCTATGAATAGAAATAAATAACATAGAGGATTTTTACTAGAATGCCAAAAGTTCCCTAGATATGCCAAGAATTATCTAGACGCTTGTTATGCTTTCACATTTGATTAATGAAGAAAAAATGTTGCTATGTTTATGGCTATTATTTCATCTAGACATTATAATACTTTCGTTAAATATCGATCTTTGCTGACTACACTAATTATACATACCGACTTGATAGTATATTTAAGAGTATGAACATATCCAAACGCGTCTGCATACATTTATACTTTATCGAATATATACGAACTTGAAAAGTGTCGTTTATTGACGATGGCAGCTTGATGTAGAAAGTTTTGAAAAACAAAACTTCTATGTAGCACTGCAGTGCGTTTTGGACTTTTGTCTGCCTTGCATAGATCTTATCATAAGAATAAATAGTTATTCTTATAGTATCTGTTAAGCCAAATTGAAGGTCAGTGAAGAAAATAAGAATGACGCATCACATGCATATATCATTTACATTTGCTTTTCGGTTTCACGCCCACATCCTACCCTAACATCTTCCACACCAAGTGTTTCATAAAAGAAAGTAATTCTGAGTATAATGTATCTAAACATCTCATTTACGATTTAGCTTTTCATGATACTGATTTTTAATATTCTATAGTCGTATAATTTCTTTTTCTCCATTAGTGAATTGGCAAAAAAATCGTAAAATAATCCTTCAATTAATAAATTTAGAGTTTACAAGCAAACCTTCTCATGGATAATTATGAATATGTGAATAAATCGAATATCAGCAATGACTTTATATGTGAAATATGTAAAAATCCATTTATTGACCCTGTTGCTTTACCAGAACCATGTGAACAAACATTCTGTTTCAAATGTATTCAACTGAATCTTGAAAATCATTCACAGNTAAATATTTAAAAGAAAAGACAAATAAATTAATCGATGAAAAACAATTAATACATGATCAATATGATCAATATAAGAAAAACAATAATGATGTTGGTATGGAATTCAGCAGGCTTACTAGTTCTTTACAACACGTATCTAGTCTAATTGAATATATTGAAAATGAAAATCAAGTTCTTCAAGAAAATCTGAATGAATTGAATTTCTATGATGTAAATAATCGAGCTCTATTGAAATCTTTTCAACAGCAACAACAAATAGAAGCTGATTCTCTTCAGGAAATGAATCAACGTTTGAAAGAAAAATTATTTGACTATGAAACAGAGCTTCAACAATCAAATCAATATTGTCAACAACTTCAAGATCAATCTATTAACGATAAAGATAAAATTGAAGAACTGATGATTAATATTAAACGATTAGAAGCAAAATTATATTTACCAGCTAGTCAACCATATCGTAAGTTTACTGTCATATGGTTAAGATTGATTCCTTAGAAAATTATACCCAATGAATAGAAACGGACAAAAGAATAACTAAAATCATCACGGCCGGTACCGAAATGACGTGGTTCCACACATTTCTAATTTGCACACTCCTGATTTTCAAATAATTAATGTGCTCCTATGTAGAAATATTGCATACAAATCGGAGTCTCATTTCTTCAATTTTTTAAAAGCTAATGATGATTCTAGTTAATATTTAAAGATATGAAGAATAGCACTGCATTTTGAACAGAGATTGATTGATTTCAAATCTATAGAAAATGTTTTTTCGATGTCAAATTTATTTTTAGAAATACCTGAAAAAAATAAAAACATTGAAACTAATCGACTTGAAGAATTCATTGACAAATGCCAATCATATTTAATGGTTAATTTAAATAGTGAACAAATAAATGATGATAATATTGAAGTTGTTATTAAAGCAGCTTTAATTAAAAAACAATGCCAATCATTGATATTGTGGAATAACCATTTAACATGTTATTCAATATCGAGATTATCGTCTGCATTGAGTATGAATAAAAGTTTAACAAAATTGAGTATTTCAAAAAATCATTTATCCGATTCAGCTATAAAAGATTTATCTGAATCGCTTTCATTTAACAACTGCACATTAAAACAATTAGTTCTTTCGTCAAATGAAATAACTGATCAAGGTCTTATCTATTTATCGGATATGCTAAAAACTAATGAGCATTTAATTGTACTTGGATTACAAGACAATAAAATAACTGATAAAGCTATTCAATATTTGTCTCAAATTATTCAATTTAAAAATCAAGTTATCGAAGAAATATCTTTATATTCAAATAAATCAATAACAGACGGTAGTGTTGATGATATATTTAATATGATTAGACATAATCAATCATTGAAAACATTTTGGATACGGGATTGTCAATTATCGGAACAAGGCAAAGATAAACTTCAGCAATCTATTCAGGATAAAAATAATTTTGACCTTTTAGTCTAATAAATCGATTCATTCAATTTTTGTTTTTTAGATATCTTTTCCCAAGATTTTTTATTTAATAAGATCATTGAAATAAGATATAGAGAATAGATATATTGTATCTTTGTTATATCAAATTGGTAGAGCAATAATAAATTTCATTCAGAGAAAATCTTTCCTACTGTCTATTGAAGATGAAACTTTGAATGTTCATTGTTAAATAAATTCATGTTTTATTTTCACTTAAAAATAAGTCGATAGCAGCCGTGGCCTCATTCATTTGCTTAACAAAACACATATAATACTAACTGGACTCTACGATTTGCAACTATCCTGAGAGTGCGGGCATTTACCCCAATCGTGCTGTCGCTCTTTGTTTTACATGCCAGTATTACAAAGAGCTAACTAATTTTGCAATCAATACGATGCATGTGTTGTCCTCAGTTGGCTTTTCGAATATTTCCATCGATTTCGGACAATTTTCTGTATTGATACGAAACATTATTGACATTCTCACTTTAGTTTTCGAATTAATACTCAAAAATGGAAAAGTATCGTTCGAATACTCATTAATGAACTTCGATAAAACAAGAACTACACATGAAATTGTGGAAGATCTATTTATTCTATACTCTCTTCTCTACATATATATTGTCGTCAGTCAAAGTCTATTCAATATGAAATTATTTCTTTAAATACGAATTGGAAATAATATTTCAGATAAACTATATCAGTCAAAGCGAAAGCCTAGAAGATTATTTTATTTATATGGTTCAATATTAAAGTGGAATTTTGAGTGTTCTATATAAAAATCATTCAATTTCTTAAATATGCAACATATTGTAATATTTTTTGAATTATTCATAATGTCGAATGAAGTCTTATCTATTGTTCTTCTGAATCAAAGAATATTGCCATTCATTGAATTTGAATATCAAAGTATGCATTAACTGTGCATTCGAACATGAGTTGTAACAATGTTTAAATCGATAAATAAATGCTATACATGTTTTCAAACTGAAGATTGGATGCTCTAAAATTATTGTATTCGAATTTTCATATTTTAGCATGCCATGAACAAAATTTGACGAAAAATAGTTGAGAATTGATCGAAGATATTTTTGTGCGTGAAAAAGTTCAAATTCAAAAGTCATACAGATGATATTTAATTTTAAATGAACCTTGTTAGTATAGCTCTCTGCGAAATAAGATTAGTGGTACGATGTGTGCTTGAATACGGATAAAAAATTAACAAGACTCACACTTGGGTGTGGGCCATAAAAAAATTAGCTCATAATTTACCCTTAAGCGTAACATTTCTCAATCATAGATTAAAAACAGAATTACGAAATCTTGTTCAAGCGTTGAAATTATCAGCTCCTTATCTTGTTCCTATAAAAAACTATAAGCAATCAATGAGACTTTCAGAGAATTTTATCACACTCTAAATAGAAAATTGATTATTACAAGCAAGCTGTTTTTATTAGTTATGCATTTTTTCAATGAATGGACGTAACATTGATCGGCACCATTCTACCAATACTTGCGGCATGATTAAACTCAATTAATTCAATTGTTAATACACCATGGTAAAAATAGACTGGCATCTTGCCGACAGCTCGAGCTGCAACATCAATTACGTGTAAGCCTGGTTGTAAATAGATAAATTCTGACTTTCGTATTGCAGTCGCTATCGGCGTGGCAAAATGGTAGTGCCCTACACCAATATGATCCAACGCATCAACTGCAGTGTATCCAGGAATTGCTTTATAACGATCTGCAGTATTTGGTATAAACCTATCGTTATAGAAAAGATAATTATTGACCATAATCCGAGGGAATACCCACACAGGAGGATTTGGATTATAACTTATTGCATCAAAAGTAATTTTATACAAGAGAGGTACAGTATGATGAAACGCTGTAGTGAAACCAGTCACTTTTGCATATAGATTAGATGCACCAGTAATCGGAAAGCTTGTTGGCTGCCGAAATTTTTTGTAAATCTTTTCTGATCGGATGAAGCAAGTATTGTCCATTTTCCCTCCAGATAAGATTTGAATAGTACCACCATATGCATGTCCCACGAATATTGCTAGTATAAAATTGATCATAATCCATGTTTTCATCATGGTCCGCAATGAAGAAAATATCATTTTTGTACGAATCTATGCGAAGAACACGAGACAACGCTTGTTTCCTGCTGACGGTATGGAAATATTGGTATATGCTAAAGACTGTCGACTCTTTTTATTTATCACGAAAAAAGAAATTTCTATGGTGTCACTTGAATTAAATGGAGTTTTCAAGCGTCAAGTATCAAGCTTCAAGCTCAGCTTCAAGTTTTGCATATATGTATGAAAAATCCGGATAAGCACAATCCTAGGTGATGCTTTGGGCGTGAATGAAGAATGATTGTGTGGAACTCTCAATTAGGCGAAATTCAATAAGTGCAACAACAAGATCTCATAAAAGACTTTATTTAAATACAGCACATATTTATACTGAAAATATCCGAAAGAATAGTTTCAGTTTATATGAATGATAACTATTCAATCAAAGTAACTAGAATTTAAATTTAACAATGAAGTCTTAAGCAATAGATAAAGTTGAGAGCCACAACTAGATCATTAAGCCTGCTTGCCTACTTTTTCTTCAAAATGAAACGGTGATCGCATCAAAACGGAATTTAACTGTAGAAAACAGATTAATTTGTGTAGTTTTCAAGGATGCTAAGTAAATATAGCGAACTAGACAAATTTTTCAGATTAAATATTGAAGATAGATAAAAAGATCAAAAGTCGCTAGCGATATGAGGATTTCCTTAAATTCTTTATAGAACAAGAACATTACAGCAAACCTGCATACCTAATGCATGGTTATGATAAGGAACGAGCAGAACTGCATTATATCGTGATTCTTTTTAGTATAGTTGCTGATCTAAATGCTTACCCAATGAATGTTATTACCTAACATGTTTCAAATATTGATTGTAGAGCAATATAATAGAAAAAAATACCAATCAATTGTTATTGGATGCACCTTCAGACAAGAACTTTCTCGTGAAGACCACCAGCTGAGTAATCAGAAAATGTGCATGTGATTTCCCCTCAAAGTATAGCTTAATCAAATAAACGGTGCCCTTAAACCCTGACGTTACATGTGATCAAGTATGCAAATTTGATTGCTGATTGAAGAATATAATACTATTCAATTGGATCGTTACGTTATCTAAAAATAACTTCTTGGAAATAAGACAAAAACGAAATTCATACGGTCGAAACGTTGGCAGCATTCAGATTAAAAGGGTATCGATGTGCCTTAAAACTCATCAATTTAGTGTGTTCATGGACCAAATTACTTGTGGATCATACCAACATCAAGGGAACCTATTTTTCAGAAAACATAATAACTAACCCAAACCATGCTAATCTTCATGTAAATAAAACACAGAATATGCTATGTGAACGCATGAAAAACTACCTCTCACTTTGGAAAAAAAACTAAGTTTCCACTGCTTGGAATAATATAACATCTGAACTATCTACTTTTTCTAGTCTTCGAATGATGTGAATGAATGAAAAGTTAAAGATATTGGCTCAGCGATTTTAGGACGGCACAATCTCACGCCCTTATTAGAATGAAGAGAACAATGATTCAAGTAGCAGTGAGGGTGTATAAGGAAGAATAATGTAACAAGAATACAAGAGCTTGCCGAAAACTACAATCATATCGTTCATTGGATTTCAAACTTTTGAACTCGATGGCTCCAGGTATCACTCACATAAAGGTTTCTGTGTCGATCGAAAGACAAACCTATTGGATCATAGAATTGGATTGATAGAGAACCTCTACCGTTTCCACCCTCAAGAATTTGTCCTTCGGTTGCTCCTTTTGGCCAACGCATTATTCGATGATTGTGTAGATCTGCAATATAGAGAGTTCTCAACTGGTCAACGATGATTCCTTGAGGGAAATGCAACTGAGAAAGCAAATTTCCTCTGCCATGACCACCAGCCACTAATATTCCTTCTCTTGCACCTTTCGTCCATTTCATCACACGATTGTTATTCATGTCTGAAACATAAACTGAATGATCGCGATCGACAAACACTCTCCTCGGGATATTGAGCTGGCCAAGTCGATTTCCTACTCCATTTCCACCTGCCACCACTATTCCCTGAGTTTCTCCGACTTGACATCGTCTCACCTCGCGTCTTTCTTCATCGCTGACATATAGAAATCCTTGTTCGTCCATTGTCACTCCTCCATTACATCCGACCCCAGCGATGATTGTTTCCCCATCATTTACATTTCGCAAAGACCATCGCACAACACGCTTGTTTCCACGGTCACAAACAAAGACACTATCTCTCGCTCTGTCATCAATCAAACTAGTTGGATTTTTCAGCTGGCGATTTTCAGCAACTATAATTCGACCGCAAGCCGCTCCGATTTTTCATTCAGCTATATAAAGAGTTTGACCGTTATGAAGAAACAAAGTATGTGCAGAATAGAGTTCATTCACTCCTTGCCTGGCACATTTCCTCCCGCTACAGTGATGCCATTCGTTTTCCAAATCGAGTTAGCGTTGACATGAGCCGAGCAGAGAGGTGCTGAAATCATACGAAGAGTTCGTTGAGCATGTGAAGAAGAACAGAATATGCGATCGAAAAAGACAATAAAACTTTTCTTCAGTTATACATTGATTGAGTACAGCTCAATTATGACTACAATGTGAAACTTACATATCTTCTTCAGATTTACCATGCTTATATAAAATACATGCACTGATAAAAAAATTCGGGTAACGATCTACCCCTGCACTTAAAAGAGTCGCCATTAAACCCTTGAAGGGTTTATTCCGATGGGATGAGTCCTTTTAGCGTTTATTAGTCGAAGGATTTGTGACGCCATGGGTTTATGAAAACTCAAGGTGTATATGATGGGCACATAAGGATTCATTAATCTACGATTTTAAGACAAGAGTATATCTTTCAACGGATGATAGTAGATTGTTGTTCCCTTTCAACGTATGGGTATTTTATTCTTCGTTACCAGGCTTACTATTTTACTTTTTCGTTAAAAGGGTACATCACTCTGCCTTTCTGGGTAGAGTAAGCAACCCTTCTCAGAAACAGTTCATTATTCTACGCCTAAGAATAGCTTCTGCTACCATTTCCTGCTAAGGGTTTAGTATTCCACGTTCAACAGTTGATTCATCTACATCTTAATAAAAAGGGTTTAATACTGTACGTGACTGCTTGATTCTATGTCTCTTGATTGGCAGTTTTTTTTATTCTACTGACAAATATCGGCTTATCTAGCTTGGCATCTCAAAGGATAGTTTCATCGTTGGTCGATGGTTGATCCTACTTCTCTTTTGTTGAAAGAAGTCATCGTACAGGGGTTGATCTTTCCGCTATTTCGTTAAAAGGGTTTATCATGCTACCCATGGAAAAATAATTCAAAAAAAGAACGGTTGAGAACGCGTTGTCGAGATAAAAGACTGCGTTGTGAAGACGCTTTTTTCGACCTTTTCAGACGCGTTTGTGTAATGAAAAACGCGTTCTTTTAAATAAAAAGAACGCGTTCTGATATGCTAAAAGCGTTGTGTTAGAAGAACAGTTCTCGAGTGAAAAATCGCGTTTCAAAAGAGCGCTAAAAGCGTTCTCACAAAACGTTCCATAGGAACAAGTTTTTCGCGGTAAGAACGCGTTCTTATTTAGAAATTAAAAAAATATATTTTTTTTTGTATTTTCAACTCTATGATGGCCTCGAACGCGTTTCTTTGCTATCCGCACATGTTCTCAAACTACTGGTTCCTCTATTCGAATACTTGCGTTCGCACTGAACGCGTTCCAATTCGTTTTGTTTTTACTACTGTAGAGTGGATTCGACCAGATAAACTTGTAGTTTCGAAGTAGTGAATATCCGAATGAACTATACTTACGTATGTTTGAAGTACTAAATTTTCTATTTGTATTAAACAAAATGTATTCTGACTTAACGAAATTTAAACTTAAGACTGATCCATTTACGTTTACGAAAAATTTAATAAATTCAAAAATAAATTGAAAGAACTTTAATTTCTTTTAAAATAAAATATTGGAAATTTAACTTTTTAATATTTTTTGACATTTAATAAAAGTTTTCTAATCTAGCTTATATTAATAAAAATTCAATACAAAGCTGTTCAAATTCATGTAATTAGACTTAAATATTTCTTATGCAATCTAAATTCATTTACTGTGATTTTTATCAAATTTTAAGTCTAATTAAATTGGTTTAAATTGAATTTACATTGTACGATCGATTTGAGTAAAGCTAAATCTTTTTTTTATTTTAAAAAGTTAAATTCATTATAAATTTAAATCGACAAAAGCTAAATTTAATATAAATTAATTAGAAATCGATGGACACTTCTGATTTTTATTATGAGCTACAATAAGTGACGCGGTCGATGGCAAATAAAAATGTGATGAATATATTTGAGACAGACACTAGTATAATTTTTGCAAAATTTCTGTTTAATGTATAAAATCAATGAAACCTTCCCGATTACTATTTTGCAAATAAAAGAAAGAATATACGATTTGCGAATGTACATTAAAAAAAGCATTTTCTAAAAACGACTTGTCATAATGATACTTTTGAAGCTAAAATGTGAAACTTATATATGTGCATTAGCCTAATTTAGCCAACACAATGCATGAATTAAGAACTTTCTTGTAAACTATATTTACATTTCAAGATAGTTCGTCAGTCAGTTATCAGAACAATGATTCGCCCTTTTTATTTCTGCATTTTTACAAGAAGCATTTTTCATCATTTTCTTTAAAAACACAGCTGTTCCATAAAACAAAACTACTGCAACTCTCTTGGGAGATATTTACTTTAAAGTAATTAGATACAGTCATTTTTATGATGTAACCTGGGAACACTCCTACAACTGTAGTTGAAAAGGTATTTTCATTTCTTAATGCTAATGAAATTACTATCATTCGACTGTTAAATCCAACTGAAAGTAGCTAATTTAATTTGCTTGTTGTACATGTTAGTTTCATATTTCTATTACATAAATATGTTGACATTCATGAAATAAATACTTGATTTAAAGCTCTATAATTATAATTTTATGAAATAAAAATGAATATGAGATTAGCGAATTTGTTTGATAAAAAAATACTTTAAAAAAACGAAAATCATTTAATACGAAACTCGAGATAAATGATCACTTTGCCAAATAAGACACTATCGTCCAGTGCATTACAACAGAAAGAAATCTTCTTATACTGAAACATATATTTCTTAATTGGCATAGCACTTTCATTACATGCATTCCGATATATGTCAAGTAATGAATTCCATTAAGCTATGACTATCTTTTCACTACATAAAAAAACGCGTTCTGAAGGTTGACGAACAAGTTCTTCAGTATAAGTTTTCAAGCATTTTTCAGAAACGGATTTTCCAACTATAAGAACGAATTAATCGTGAACATGTTCAAACGCATATCAGTTGAACGCGTTCGTACGATAAATGACACGTTCACTATTAATGTGTTCAATTTAATAAAAACGCGTTGCTTACGAACAAGTATGCGTTCGAACACGTTCAAAATTTTGACGAACGCGTCTGAACGCGTCCATTTGTTTTTAGAACGCATTTTTAGTCGATAAAATACGTTCAATTTTTTTGACAACGCGTTCTTTTACGTTCATTTTGATGAATATTTTTCCATGGGCTAGCTATGTTACTGATTCATAAAAATAGAATGTCCGAAAAGATGAATCACTGAATTTTTAAAATTTGTTCTTGTATGCATATAGGAGCGTTATAGTTCTCATATTTTCCTGATCAAATAACGTATTAAACCAATGAATAAAAGTATCTCTTCAAAGTAACCATTACGAGTGTTTACTCGTGTAGTTGTTAAGTGCAACTGATAGAAGAAAGAGAAATCTATCTCAAAACATTGAAAACTTCTTATGTGTGTTTTTTGCATTATTTCAGAATCAAAACTACCAGCTGCAGTTAATAAATGTCTAAAACCAATAATCTTCTGACGAAGTATTTCAAACGAGACAAGAAAAAGGTTATCAATGAATCAACTACAGAACTTACTACGGCAGCAGATGAACCTAATGAAGACGGGGGCGGATCATGCTCTCCTAAACGCCTCAAGTTAGATAAAAATAATGATCTATCAATATTAATATGTTCAGCAGCAGCAGCAGCACCAGGACCGTTAACATCACCAACTTCAACTCGTTCAACAACACCAGGACCGATAACATCACCAACTTCAACTCGTTCAACAACACTAGGACCGTTAACATCACCAACTTCAACTTCTTCAACAACACCAGGGCTCTTAACATCACCAACTTCAACTTCTTCAACAACGCCAACGTCTTTAGCATCACATAGTGAACGAGATCCATCCCATGGATCAGCAGTAGCAAAGAAATTCATTTTTGCAGGACCATATCAACCTGATTTGAAATTTCAAACAGTTGATCATCGCCATTTTTGTCGACAGTGGTACAGTATTTATTCATGGCTAGAGTATAGTAAAATAAAAGATCGTGCATTTTGTTTTATTTGCCGTTTATCATATGGAACTGGGAAAACTGATGACTGGTTCTCTTTAACAGGTTTTAATACATGGAAAAATGGTGCTTAGGTTTAATCGTCACCAGTCTTCTATTGTTCACAAGAAAGCAGTGGAAGCATGGGAAAATATGAAAAGAAATTATAATAACAATACCGATGTGTTTAAATTAATAGACAAGCAACACGCTAAACAAGCTGCAGAAAATCGAGCATATCTAGTTGAAATAATAAGAACGATTGTGTTTTTATGCAAACAAGGTTTAGCATGTAAGCTGTTCAAATATCATCTACGCTTTTCCTTCTCATTATTTGAATATGATGTGAAGTTTTAATCACATATTTTTCATATATTTTAGTTCGAGGCCATCGGGAGCACGGTCAATCTTTTAACAAAGGGGATTTTCTCGAACTTCTCGCACTGAGAAGTTTAGACAATCCATTAATTAAGAAAAATTTGAATACATTGAAATTCACTGATCATAAAATTCAGAATGAAATAATTGAACTACTTCAGCAAAAAATATTAACTAAAATTTTAAATGAGTGCCGGCGTGCGAAATATTATTCAGTAATGAATGATGAAACAACAGATATTAGTTGTCACGAACAAGTTTCATCAGTAATACGATATGTTGATGATAAACTTAATGTATTTGAGAAATTTGTTGGCTTTGAACGCACGGCTTCTATGACAGGAGAAGCATTGTGTGCATTATTGATTAAATGGTTAAGTAAACTTGATTTAAAATTAGAAAATTTGGTTGGTCAATGCTATGATGGTGGCAGTAACATGAGAGGAGAGTATCAAGGAGTATCAGCTCGCTTGAGACAAGTAGCTTCTTTAGGTGAAGTACTAATATATGATAAAGTGTTTTTTCTTCTAATTTGGTTTAATCATATTCTTGATTTTCAATCATCTCAGGTATATACGTACATTGTAATGGTCACATATTGAATTTATGTTTAATCGACGTATCAGCTCGTGTACCATCAGTTAGAAATAATTTTGGTGTTGTTTCATCACTTTATAATTTGATTGAAGGTTCAGCTAAACGTCAACAAGTTTTCGAAAATATTCAAAAGGAAGCCGGTTTACAAGCATTAACAGTCAAACAATTATGTGAAACCCGTTGGACGTGTCGTTTCGAATGTTTGAAAGTGATTTTACTTCGTTTTAATGAAATTGTAACAACTTTAGAAGTTACGGCAATTTCTGATGGATTTCTTCTTCTTAATTCATTACAATCCTTTGATTTTATAATTCATTTATTTATTATGAGTGAGATATATCTTTTAACAAATGTGCTTTCAAAATCTTTACACTACTCAAATATTTCATTGACAGATGCACTTGTTCAAGTGAAAATAACGGTTGATACTTTAAAATCATTACGAAATGAACCTGAATTTGAACGATTCTATAGTGAAGCAATGAAACTGTGTGATTCTAATGATATTGTGCCTCCTAAAGAAATTCGCAAGAAAAAAGTTCCTGCTCGTTTTGGTGGTGGTGTTGATGCACCAGCTGCCTTAAATGTAAAAGATCATTATCGAATCAACATTTATTATACTATTTTAGATACGATCATCCCGGCAATTAATGGAAAATTCGATGAAAATGTTCTTGATATTGTTATTTTAATGGAGAAGCTCTTTTTAAATAAAGAATTGTTAAATGATAATGAAATTCAAGAATTATCACAACATTATTCAATTAGTTATGATGATTTAAAAGTGGAACAACGACTTTACAAGACTAAGATGAACGATCAAAAGATGAATTTATCTCAAGCAACTAAATTCATTCTGGAGAATAATTTCCACATAGCATTTTAATCTTTACACGAATTATTTAAGATTTTATGGACAATACCAGTCAACTCTTGCGAATGTGAACGGAGTTTTTCGTCATTAAGACGATTAAAAACTTATTTAAGAAATAGTATGGGACAAGAAAGATTATCTGGTGTTGCACTTTTAAATATTGAAAAAGAATTCGAAATTAATATGGAGCAAATAGTAGCAGATTTTGTTGCAAGAAAAGATGCGAGAAAAATTATTTTTTGAAGCGAAATCTTCTAATGATTCTTAAAGTCATTTTCAATGACATTTTTTGTGGGAGACCGGAATTTCGGCCCAAGGAAGTTTCGGACCAATTTTATACAAATTCATTAAATTCGGAGAAAAAACGAATTTTTTTGAAAATTGGTTTCTAGATTTTTTTAGTACCGAGCGAAGCGTCGTAGTGCCGAGCGAAGCGTCTTAGTGCCGAGCGAAGCGTCTTAGTGCTGAGCGAAGCGTCATAGTGCTGAGCGAAGCGTCTTAGTGCCGAGCGAAGCGTCTTAGTGCTGAGCGAAGCGTCATAGTGCTGAGCGAAGCGTCTTAGTGCCGAGCGAAGCATCCTAGTGTCGACCCAAGTAATATAGTGTTAAAAACAGCACTTCTATTATTATAGAACATAGTATGGCGTTTTAAGGTACATATCGTTTATCCACAACAAACACGAACGAATCTAGTGTAACCTCAATATTGGCTTAAGGATGCACATTTTTTAGTTTTATTTTAGATGTAGAATTCACTATTGCTGGTATATTTTTCGAAATGTGTTGAGATGTAAATTAGGTATAAATTCGTTTTTTTTATTTCAACTAGTTTTTCTTCTATGGAACGAAAAACGCCGCTTCGCTCGGTACTAAAAAAATCTAGAAACCAATTTTCAAAAAAATTTGTTTTTTCTCCGAGTTTAATGAATTTGTATAAAATTGGTCCGAAAGTCCGGAGAATTTTCGGGCCGGGCCGAAATTCATGTAACCCTTTTTTGTTTGTGTACTTCATTTCAATAGTAGAAAAATAAAATATATAGACAACAGTAAAAAAATATAGCTTCATATTTAGCACGAATGAATATTTTCACAAAAATTTTAAAACTTTTTTTCATAGTAATAAGATATTAAAATTTATTGCCACACCTCACTTTATGGTGCTGGCCCGCCACTGGATGAACACCATTGTTTAAGTTATGAATAAAGTTAATTTCAATACTACTTTTAAGAGAGGTGTCACATATTCGAAATATCGGGCATGCTGGAGATGCCACGGGAGACGCCGACATACAACACTATAACTAACACAATGAAATACTACGTGTATGTAAAATTCTTTGAGCACATTCTGCGTCGCACGCAGAGACGCCGCATATCTGGCATCTCCATCTCCAGCATCTCCCGATGATAAACTATTCTTCGATTTCTAGCCTAGACCACATCTGGAGATGCGTCTTCTTAGAGAGATGCCACATCTCCATCTCCAGCAGTAGTGTCGAACTTGAACTTGAATTCAAGTGAAACTTCAAGTATCAAGTTTCAACCTTCAAGTTTCAGGTTTGACGTTATTCCTCTGGCACTACTGCTTGCCCGGCACCCACATTATGGGTACATATGTGTGTGTAGACAAGCGTATCTCCCTTCCCCGGCACCCACACCCTTGAAAGCTGAAAGTTGAAGTTTCAGTTGAATTCAAGTTTCAAGTTTGAGATGCATGTGCGTACCGACACGGGCAAGATTCTTGAAGAAGAGGAAGAGAGACAGAAGAAAGAGGA